CAAAACTTATGAAAATAAATTTTGATATCTGTATTCAGTGCAATTATCAATCACTATGACAACACAACACGAACTTCAAATTATTTTCCGCCAAATATTCCTCGGACATTCACGAATGCCTCATATAATTTTATGACAAATTTCTCAAGATCGTTGCTTGGTAACAGCCCTCAGCCTTCGGTTTCGAACTGTTTCCAATTAACGAACTTTCGATGGTCATAAAATTATCTCGTTTATTATCATTGTCCTAGGTATATTACTACTGACAATAACCCTTTTATTAGTACCTAATCATGAAGTAAAAAATGAATATAGCGATACAAATATACATCATACATAATATCAAATAATATACACTCATTATCTTGGGATCGTTAATCCACCTCACTTGAGATCGAGATCAGAGGACAGAGGTGCCAGATACGATATTACCATTGACTCTAATTGATATGAAATAATTGAAATATATTGTGACAGTACTCACCATCGTTCCTAAATTATTGTATAATTTGAAGCAGATATTTGCTATAAAATTTCTCAGATTTTTCAACAGAAAATTTAGAGGAAACTTCCACACCTGTGATTTTTATACAGTTAAATTGGGTAATTATCACAAAATACCATAGAAACGCACGTATATTAGTTAACATTTTTTTCTCGTGGTACCCACCAGCGTATGAAATCGGATTTTTTTATGACGTTTTGATGACAGAATAATATTTGGACGTCCTAAAATAGTGATTTTTTTCTGTGACAGGAAAAGAGTTTGGCATTTCATCTCTGTTGGCAGGTTATAAAATGTCACTTTTCATAATTACTTTTTTCCCGGATATATATATCACATAATACACACTGTTGATGGCTTTTCTTGTGCTATAGTTCCGAAAAATGAGTCAATAATACCGTCTCCGAGAAAGAACTGCAAGTCCTTTTATCTTCCATTCGACTTTGCGGTTACGTATAGGTATAATTACTAAACAACCACTAAATTCGCAATTTATCGAAATCAAATCACAGAATTAGACTGACAGAAGTGACATCAGATATTTGATTACTTCAAAAGAATGATAAAGATGCCTACAACGCAGTTGTCCCTACTGTCGAAAACTTAAAATTTCACGTCGATAATTATCAGATTTCAAAATAATGTAATTTCTTCGCAATATTGATTCATCCTTTCTTCTGTCACAGAAAAAAATAGTGTATTATACACGGAAAAAATATTAGATTTTAGCTCACGGTTTTTGGTCTGTCAACACAACCTGGAGCTAAAATCTACTACTTTTTCCCCTTGTATAATAAATTACTATTGTGCCACTTCAATTGGGTAGGAATAAACAATTAATAGGATGAGAATCTATTGATGCCCTAACTGCATCTATCATACAGAATGTCATATCACTCACTACCTATGCCAGTGTAAGACGTTATGGAAGGCAAAAATTCGAAATCTCTGGTACTGATACGCTTCAACAGGAAGATCAAATTACTATAAGGTGGAAGGACATACTGACCTTCATCAGAAATCCACGGAGGTTCGAAAAGGAGAATTAGGAGAAGGAATGGTAGAAATTATGTGCACATGACGTGTGCAGCAGGGGTCGGAAAAAAAGGCTTACTGGGGCCTATACTTGCTATATAGGCGACCGCCTCCCCTTTCTCTACTATACTACTAGTATGTAGCTATACCTATGAAAAATCAACTGACAAAATTATAATTTCTCATCACTTGTAGTATCCCGGAGTTAATATAAAATGGAAGAATATGATATGTTACATTTTAAACTAGTATTTGCATGCAAATATAATAGATAGAAATCAGGAATCTATTATTGGTGCCAAAACGGCGATCCAAACTAAATTATCCCTCGAAAATTTCCGGTAATAATTTGACCTCTAGTGGTATTACAAGTGGAAATATATTCTGTGCGTAGTCGGACTTTCGGACGAAATCCAGGAATCAACCAACAAGAACGAATGGTCACAGGTCACAAAGATGTATTATTAGGATATCAATGTGAATTATCCAGTTAACGTCGATTAGGTAGATGCAACACCCAATATAATGGCTCCTGTCGAACCAATGATGACAGTTGTCGATAGGTTCGACGGGAGGTATTATGTTGGGTGTTGCAGTTGGTTTGATTGCATAAATGAGTGTCGATTACATCCCTAACAACACCAGTACATCCTAGGGACTTCCCATGGACGTCCCTGATTTTATACTAGGACATCCCAGGGATGTCCTTTGTCGGGACAACGTACATACTAGGGATGTCCCAGAGACATCCGCTGGCTGCTAAAAAAGGCATCCAAGGGATGTCCTTCTGGTACGTCCCTGGGATGTCCCAAGTACGATGAAAGGATATCTTTAGGACGTCCCAAGGATATCCCAGGGACATCCTTTCGACAAAAGAAAAAAGTTGCAGGTCGAGTAGGGATTGAACCCGGGACCTTTGGCTTATCATGCACGCACCTTGCTCCATTGGCTATCATGCCTCCTGAAGATTTATGTACTAAACAGATTTATAAACAGGACTTAACTACAGAAACCTGAATAAATACAACTTTATTAGGAATTGGGTATAATTATTATCATTCTTGGGTGTTTAAAAATGAGGGGCATTATGCATGTAAGATTTCTGTCTGCGAAAAATGGTAATTTCTCAAGAAGTTCTGAGACTTCATTCTTTATTTTCATTACAATCATTTTCCGGATGAGAAACAAACATTTTCAAAAAAATTCAATCAATAGTTTGATGAAATTCAATGACTCTGATGTGAATGTATATCAGATACTCCAGGGACACGAATAGGATAACCTAGGGATGTACCGGGCGGGATGTCCACTGGACAACCACTGCAGGACATCCCCTGGATGTCCCAATCATGTCCTTGTACCGCGAGATAAAAAAGGGACGTACCTAGGACATCCCTGTGTTGTTAGGGATGATATATCGACTCTTTCGATTGATTTTCGATTACGCGATGAAAAACCTTGTGATAAATAGGTCCTTTGACTTCATGTCAGCTCAGGAATATCTTGAAACCATTGTAGAATCGTTATTGTATGAATTGGTCAGAAAAATCCAAAAGGGCCTTCTTGCGCCCCCTTGGATTGCCTTATCTGAAAAATCACGAAATCAATTCGAGATACTGAGCAGAGCAATCGATCCAAATGAAGGATTTGTGTTTAGCATAACATATGGTTATGACAGCACCAAACTGAACAGACGATTTCACCAAATTCTGAACATTTCTCCAAAAAAATTTATTCTCCTTCTGTTGAAGTTGTCGATGATTTCAACGTATAGTGTGGTAAAATACGTTGAATGTGGCTTGCATGATTTTAAAATCGGAAATGATGCGATAAAAACAAAAAAATTGTCGATTTTAAATATCCTGTATGAGGAATATGGAAACTTACAAAACCGTTTCGAGATATTGGCTTGAACGTTCGAAAAAAATGATTGATAGAAAAATATAAAAAGTTCCCTGAAATACGGGAGCGTTTGAATTCTCTCATTTTTCTCATACGTTTTTCGAACACTTCGCGTATAATGACAGAAAAACTCCCGACGAGTTTTGAACGAAGAATCTTGAACATAAAGATCGCATCTTCCTAGCACTGCATTCTGATTGAAAATCCATTCATTTTCTAAAAAGATATGGCAGTTTGAGAATTGTCAAATATTTCAGTGGTACACTTGTTTCTTTGAGCACTTTATATAATTTGATAGTCTTTAATTAAAAATGATTGAAATAAGAATTAGAATCATTTCCGAGATCGAAAAAATATCGCATGATAATTGTAAAATTAGCGTTCCACAAGGATCAATTTTGGCACCAACATTATTCCTGCTTCATATCAATGATCTGTTGGGAGTAACAACTTGCCCCATCCACAGCTTTGCAGATGATAGTACCCTCCATACTGCGTTCTCTTCCAGAATTCCCATTTCTTCTCAGGAAACTAAGAACTCACGAAGCAGGCAGGTCAATGCTGTCAATGAAGATCTTGCTGAAATCACAGCCTGGGGAACGAACAACCTAGTTGAATTCAACGCCACCAAAACTCAAGCCTGCATTTTCTCTAGAAAGGCGGAACTCAGTATGCCCGATATTGTAATGTCTGGCTCCACCATCCCCACCAAGTCCACCATATCTATGCTCGGTATTTCCATCAGCAACACTCTTTCATGGGATAATCATGTCAGATCCATCGCAAAAGCTGCTTCACAAAAACTCGGATTCTTGTTCCGTGCGAAAAGCTACTTTACAACTCAACAGCTTCTCATGATCTACAAAGCGCAGATACGGCCTGTTCTAGAATACTGTTCCCACATATGGGGTTCAGCACCAAAACATACGCTGATGCTCTTAGATTCCATCCAGAGAAGAGCCATTCGCCTGGTGGGTGACGTCACACTCACTCACTCTTTGACATCATTGGAACACCGTAGAAAGGTCGGCGACCTTTCACTTTTCTATCGATACTTCCACGGGAAATGTTCTTCGGAAATCTCTGCAATCATCCCTTCACTAGCAATACCAATTAGACGAACTAGACAAGCCCAGTCAGCACATCCTTTCGTTGTCAACCTCGAAAGATGTCGAACAGCACTTTATCAAGACTCCTTCATCCATAGAACGGCTAGGCTCTGGAATTCATTGCCTGTGGAAGTATTCCCAACAACATATAATCTCCAAACATTCAAAAAAAATTCCAATACCTACCTCCTGTCCCTATCCTCCCTAGGAACGCACGATGTTCTTTGAACATTATAGGGATTCCCTTTCGTGCGCTCCAATCGATAAAAATAAAATAAAAAAAAAGAGGGTTTTCATCCCTCACCTGTCCAGTCCGACTCTGTCTAACCGCCCCCGACTGAAGGGCTGAACGTTCGCTCACAGAACATGACAGAACACTCCATTCTGCCTGCGAACCGCGAGTGCTTGGCCCAGATACAACCCTATCTCTATCATAGACCGGAAAGAAAGTGAAATTGAAACGTTTGCTCTCGGACCAGCATAGATAACCTCGAGGGTTTCGTTGTTGGATATGATCATTTATAATCGGCATCTTGAAACAAACGAACGGATAATAATGGCAAACGGACGCCTACTACGGGTATGGAGCGAGGTTACTTCTATGGTTACTTCGCGACTCATTCGCGACTTAGGAAATACAAACTAAAGGACTGTCAGACGTCGTAGAGAACGGTCGCGGTTCGCGGTATCTAGTTGGCCCTGGTCTCGCGGGTAGATCGTCGTCTGTATTATCGTTATTTTTTCAAATATTATATATGATCGATCAATGATAATTAAGTGCTCAGTTTTAAGTGATTTCTTCAATTTTATCACATCAGTGAGTGGAACTTGGGTGTAGTTATTGGTAAGCTGCTACCTACTTACATTGTTGTAAATAAAAACAAATTTGTTCATGCAGTATTTTCAAAGTTTTCGTGATAGGTAGGTACTCAAGTATATCAATAACTACCCTATTCGTATAAAGATACGATGTGTTTATCCCTTGGAGCGCACAAAAGGAATCCGTATAATGTTGGAAGAACATTGTGCGAACCTAGGAACAGTAAAATGTTTATTGTTTGAAAAATATGAAACTATGACCTATTCCTATACTGATACTAAAAAATGTTCGTGTTTATAATACAAAAGTTGATTTTTCATCAATATTGTCTGGATATGTATAAAAATAAATTGAATAAAATAAGTTTTCAATGTGCGAACTCCTATATTGAATTGAATTGTAGGTATTCAAAGATCCTAAACATGAAAGAAGAACCCGAGGAAAAACCCAGAAAAACCTCACCAAAACTAACGAGAAATTTCTCATTATATGGGTATAATCGAGGTCCTAACAAATACTACAATGTCACAATTTTTTTGTGCAATTTTGATATTAGATTTGTAATCAGCATTTCAGCATTTTTATTGATTTTTGCATACAATTACCTTGTTTCATGACCTCCACTTTATTAACTTCTTTGCGAGCTTATGCTCAGATAGCACAATATGTCATTCATAGAACGTCCATAGGATATTCTTCGAGAATATTTGAATATTCTCAGAGTATTCTCACAATATGATACAAATATTCTAGGGAACTTCAATGAACATTCGGAATGGACTGTTTTGAATAATCTAAGAATATTCCTAGTATATTTCTCCGGTGGAAGATGCGAACCTACTAATCTTGTGATTGAATCTTTTCGAACCTGAAATCTTACCACTTTGCCACGAACCTTAAAGACTCCCTTATAGATAAATAAAATGAATAGCAAGATGACAAGGTTGTTTCAGGGTAAAACAATATAAATATTGACACAAGAATAGGAACAACAATATCATATATTTTGAATCGATTCTCAATATGTCAAATTGAATGTTCATAGAATATTCTCATTCTGATAACACGCTATAAGAAGATTCTAAAATAAGTATATTTGAACGTTCTCAGAATATTCATAAAATATTCTGTGCTGCCTGGGTGTGTGTATTTAAGTATATTATATAGGGATGCAAAATGGATTGTAAATAATAATATGATTAGTTCAACATCACTATTCTTCTAATCGAGCATTTGATGTACCCCTTAAAATTTTTAGAGTTATTTATACTCATTTTTTTATGTTAAAAAAATCATTTCAATTACCCTCGCATGAACCCTGGTGTTAATTGGCAAAATGACTCATTTGAAACTGCGATAGAATTGAAAATTGTTTGCGCATATATTATCTTTACTTCAATAATTAATTATAGTATGTTAAAATCGAGAGGCCTGAAAACATCAGATTTTGCGTTTATTTTCAACAACCACATTAACAAGCAGCCAAGAGAACTGTACTCTCGACTGTATACTGTTCTGAATGGGATACCCTATATATAATACATAATAATAATAAAAAAATTGTATAACTAACAAATTGTAATATTGCGGTTGCCTTTTTTTCACTTCCACGTGAGTAGATAACTTTGGTCGATTTTTAGTCATATATATAGAACCGAGTATAGAACATTTTTCTTTATGGAAATTTCTTTATTAATGCTGCTGATGATGTACTTTTGATAGTCCGAAACATGTCCAGATATTCCCGATATGTTACTAATAAATTTGTGGAGATTATAGGAATTTCCATTCGTGCGCTCCAAGAGATAAAAAATCTCGTAAAAAATGCCTAAATAATTATATCATTCTGAAATTTCGAGACTTCTTCATTCACCAAGCAGACTGAACTTTGTCAACATAACAAACTTCCGAGCAAACTTCAACATGTCTCTCATTATGAGAATTTTCCCCGGAATTTCCTTTCGTGCGCTCCAAGAGATAAAAACAATCTCAAAAACGAAGCAAGATAGTACACATCATGTTTATATGAACTTCATTTCCTAAAAGTTGACAAGAAATCGCACCGCCTCAATTTTTTCGCACTCTTCATTCATTATAAATTTCGGAGATGTACCGATTGTGATGTTGAAATTAATATACATCGAGATATACATATACACATCATTTGAGTTAAACGACTAATTCCAAACTATTATAATCATTCCCAAGAAGTATTTGCTTTGAACAGCACCCTGTATATTCATTACACGAATGAATCAATGAACATACATACCTACTCCGAAATCCTAATGAGCAATACATGTGACGCATTGTATATTCCGAGGTATATTTCACGAGATATTTCATACGATCTATATTTATTTTAAAGTGTGTATTCAACGAATGACACAGTTATAAAAAAATTGGCGTGAATAAAACGTGATTTGAATTATTTATGGAAACTAACAATTGGAAGGAATGGGAAGCCAATGGAATATCAATTAAATTAAGTTCCGAAAACTGGTGCAATAATCCTCTGAATGCGAAACTTCTTATTGAAAAGGAATATTCTCAGACATTATAAACATCACAAAATTGATATAAATACATAAAGAAATACATTGAGCATTCGCATTCTTTATGTGATGGAAATGTCATAATGAAAAATTATCGTCAAGTATATCGAGTTATAGCTATGCCTTGAAAGTTATTTCACTACACAGGTATTTCCCCAGAAGTTGCTTTATTGTCCTATAATGCTTATGTATACAATCACCGTTCATGTATGGTATAATATTTTGGGATTTGAGTAGTACAGCCACCTCGACAGCCACTCACATCTTCATATGCCATAAACCTTTATTCATAGGATAGAAAATAATGACTGATATTTCTCATAATATGTATATGAGTCAGTAATGCTTGTTGCCGAAAACATGAACTTATTTGTAGGATATACTAGAGATCATCATATGAACATCATACGAGACACAAGTATCACTTATTGAATATGAAAACTAACTTGACATATTTTATGTTCAAAAAAATATACCATATATATATACTGTGATGCAATTTTATAATAAGCTATCAAGATCGCTCATATTATTGCCTCCAAAATAACTCAAACTCAAAGTGAAAGATATTCTTATATCTGGTCTTCTTAATCTATGTCAAAAACATATTATACAATAGAAAGGTATTCCCGAGGGTATTCCTCTGACAGTTGGCAACTATAGATTGAATTTTAATACATCTACATCATTTATGTGTTATTTTTATGTCTGTGAATTGATGTCCTACACACACTTGTAATATTTCTGTATTGTATTTGTACTATCACTATTTTATATTCTTTTGTTATATTTTGTGTACCTAAATAATTTTATGTATTGACAAGTTCTACGCCAATTCCGAGGCCAATTCTTAGGCATTGATTTCAAAGAACAAATAATAAAGATTATCTGTCTATTTATCTATCTATCTGAAGTAATAATTATTTCTCGGTTTATTCAACAGAAAACAACTATACTTTCTGTTGAATCGAATTGAAATTCATCAAAAACCAAACCAAATAAGGTCAAAAGTTAGGTAGGTAGATAAAGGTAATCAATGGAAGAATTTGTAAATAGGAATAATATCTAAATTTGTTCAGTGGCGTATTGATAGTTTCATCGATTTCTCATCATCAGTACTCAAAATATGTAACGTATGTCAGTCGAAATATTTTGACATACTATTAATGCATAATTATGCATACTGATCCCCTTATGGTCCAGGGGCCAGCAACGGGTTAGGTTACAGTCGAGGTTACAGTATGGAACATAGGGCTAGAACTTTTACAATGAGTCCCTTATAACGTAGGAACGAGGGAACGCGCAGTCTGGCAATCCGCCAGGGGTGGCTTTAGCGCCGGTCGATTTTTTTAGGGCCAGAAAAAAATTTCAATTTCATCATCAGCATCAGTCTGGGTCCTTGAAATATTGAAGTTGACAATGTACCAAGTGTGTAGAAAAATTGCCAGACCAGTGGGCAGGTGGAAAGTGAGTGCCAGAGGGGGTTAGAGTGGTCTATAAAACTGTTCTTTTTACGATAAAATCATCAGGCTGAATTTGATTCAGTATCTTCAAATACACCCACACAAAATGAAACGGTCAATGCCAGACCGAAATTCCGGTGGAAACACCTTAATAGATCAGCAAAACCATCCTCCGGAGTGCGTGTTGCGTCACAGTGCGAGCTCACATATTCATGGTGAATGTCATTGTACGCCACCTGTTTTTCTGAGTTTCATATTTTTATTAGACTGAACTATTGAAATAACAACTTTTTTTATCCTTTCTGTGATTTTTGTATCAAGCTTAGTTTTTGAGCAAACAATAAAAATTCGATTTGACTCAAAATTTTAATGTAGGTAGGTGTTTTCAAAGCTTCCGTTGAGATTAAGCAATAACCCCAATTATAATCATTTTGCAATTTTGGGGATTTCTCAGTCTCCATCCATACTGAATTTTGGCACCATGAAAGCTTTATACAGGAAGATTATAAATAAAAACAATTAATACTTCCAACTTTAACATCCTGTATCTCAAAAACCTAGCAAGTTAGGACACATGTATACATGAACTTTATTTGCCCCTTGAATTTTTTCGTTGTTATTTAGATAAACCCTGTATGTATATATATATATTCATTGAATACGAAGCATGATTTATCGATTTATGATGTTATCGAAAATGATAATACTGAGAAATCCTCCTGTATATCCCGCGAAATAGGTACAATCGTCCTAAAAAAAACTCAGAATTCTCTGAATTCTTAGATTCTTCCTCAAAATTCCAAGAAGGTATCAAATTTTTTTTAGATTTTCATAAAATGCAACAAGAGAATTTGAGGAGCTAATATGCTGTTGCCGTTGATTCATCTTCATAGTTTCTGATGTTTCTTCCAGGTTTCAGAAGAGAAAACTGTTTCGATCATTTTGTTCAATTCTCGAGATGAAGTCTCTTGTTAATTTGAAGATCCAGGAGAATACGAACAATTTG